GTCCTTGGCTTTCCCCCACTGTCAATATAATTCCACCTAAGCTCCATTCCTCACTCATGTATCTTCTGGGAGACGGACGATGGACCAACCCGTCAGAGGCCAAAGACTGTCTCACCCCGTGAGCTGCTAACACCAACCAAGTAATAAAGCTGTTAATACCCTAAATTTTATGCATTCTAAAAGGTTCTTGGTTGGATTCAGCTTTCGGATAAAAACAAAATAAAATAAGCAGTATATTTATTTCATCTTTTCAAGCCGAGCGTCATGCAAATGATATTGAAGGATATGTAAGACTTGAGGTTCTCACAGCGGTGAGTATGAAGATTTCTGTCTTCTGGGTTGTTGTGCTGTGTAGTCTGGTCGATGTTAACCAACGTTTCAGAGGTCATACTGCCTCCGTCATCAGGGCGATAAATGACCTCATCTACCAGACTACACAGCGCAACAACCCAGAAGACAGAAATCTTCATACTCTGATGACGGAGGCAGTATGACCTCTGAAACGCTGGTTAACATCGACCAGTCTACACAGCGCAACAACCCAGAAGACAGAAATCTTCATACTCTGATGACGGAGGCAGTATGACCTCTGAAACGCTGGTTAACATCGACCAGACTACACAGCGCAACAACCCTGAAGACAGAAATCTTCATACTCTGATGACGGAGGCAGTATGACCTCTGAAACGTTGATAAACATCGACCAGACTACACGGCGCAACAACCCAGAAGACAGAAATCTTAATATTTAAGAACACAGTCCGTACCTCAAACAAAACAGAACACTTCACCATCACAAAGATAATATTGTTAATGCAAAGTATGCAGCCAAAACAAGTTGTGATAGACGCTATATTACGTTAACTGATAACAGGTCTAAAACGTATATAGTTAGTAATACAGCCTTCCATTTGTTGTCTACCGATTGAAATTAAAGATTAGTGTCTGCAACAGAACTGCTAGACACTGTGAAAGACGTTTACAGCTTCAAGCAACAGCAAAGTTAACTTTACTGCAGTAGGATTATAACCTACGACCATCTGCTCCCAAGCTCTGAACGTTAACCACATTTTATTGTTGAGCTATAAACTTACCTAACTGTAATATTAAGAACACACAATTTCTGTGTCTGGAATATGAATTAGGTTCAAAAAATGGAAACACAAAGTCTGTGCCTTAGAAAAAATGGGCTTTATGAGTCACGACTGCAGCTGTGCTTTTGCCATAAACCCTCTCTTTACCAGAAAGCAAATGTATTAACTTTGAATTGGACGGACGGACGGACAGACACGACAGTTATTACGCGTTCTTTATACCCAGTTCGTGCGTAAAACGCAAACTGTGATAACTCGACGTTTCCGCTGAAGATGTTAACAGCTTCATGGAAATTAGTCGAAGCAGCATCTTAGCGATTTTGGTTGGAAGCTGTCGTGCGTGTGGCTTCCATCCAGCCAGGGTTTATAACGCACAACCTTCGTGGCCAAGATCCGGTCTGCTTTTCAGCCAGACCAAACAAGATTAACCCGTTGCTATAATCGACAGCCTTCAGAAGATTGGTTGACTCTGTGCTGCCGATGTTCCTGCCAGCCTCTGGGATCTTATTTATTTACGTTGGTCGGACTTTTATATTATAATTAGACCCAAGTACATCCATGCCTTGTTATTCACTACAGACTACGATTCGATTTGCACCAGTGATCAATAAGTCTCCTTTTTTATTTATAAAATTTATTTGGATTAGATTTAATGTCCCGGCAGGAAGGTCTAAATCAGTTTTAAAAAAAGGGAACACGTCAATAAATATGAAACAAAAATTAGCGCTGCTAATACGAAGCTGAAACAGTATCTTTCGCTTGCCATCACCACAATCGGTTTGCGTTAGTGTCCATTTTAATATTGTTGAATGTTGCGCGGCAAATAATCTTGAACACGTGCACTTAATAAAAAAAATCCATATATTTGTTCAATTTTATCAGTCTAAACACAATGAAATATTATTATTAAATATTAAAATATTATTACAATTAACATTTAAATATTTAAAATATATTAAAATGATGCTCTCTATCGAAATCTTCGATGATGTTCTAATGAAAATCGAACATTTCGATAGAGAGCATCATTTTAATATATTTTAAATATTTAAATGTTAATTGTAATAATATTTTAATATTTAATAATAATATTTCATTGTGTTTAGACTGATAAAATTGAACAAATATATGGATTTTTTTTATTAAGTGCACGTGTTCAAGATTATTTGCCGCGCAACATTCAACAATATTAAAATGGACACTAACGCAAACCGATTGTGGTGATGGCAAGCGAAAGATACTGTTTCAGCTTCGTATTAGCAGCGCTAATTTTTGTTTCATATTTATTGACGTGTTCCCTTTTTTTAAAACTGATTTAGACCTTCCTGCCGGGACATTAAATCTGTGCCGTGAATTTCAGACAGGAATCTACATACCAAACTTAATTAAAACCCGTTAATTCAATGCGAAGTTACTCGTCTGTGCGAACGTTCATTGGCTTCATTGTTTACATAACCGTCGGTTGGCCGGGTCTAACAATCGTGAGCATTCAGTAACCTGAAGCAGGAAAATCTCCATTTTGCTTCGTCCAACAAACACTACAACAAAGCGTGTGGACGAGCAACGTTAGTTTAATTGTGGCAGTACAGGCGTCAGATGCAGGGCGCTGTAATCGCTCTGTTTTTTAAGTTACGTATGTAGCATTGTGTGTCAGAAGTGGCTTCTTCCTCGGCTACCGCTTTTCTGTCGAGGTTATTTAAAGTTAAAATTGGCCAGCCTTTATCACGAAGAATTACAATGAAGTGAAAAATTTGATACGTCATGACAGCCTACTTCAAAGACCCTCAATCACTCCTTAACACATGATCATCTGTCCATTTCATTATAAGCCATCCAGCCTCTGCAGATGATATGTCGCTGTTGAACCTATGAAGCCCTGATGACGGAGGCAGTATGACCTCTGAAACGTTGGTAAACATCGACCAGACTACACAGCGCAACAATCCAGAAGACAGAAATCTTCATACTCATCGCCTTGATGACGGAGGCAGTATGATCTCTGAAACGTTGGTTAACATCGACCAAACTAAACAGCGCAACAACCCAGAAGACAGAAATCTTCATACTCATCGCCCTGATGATGGAGGCAGTATGACCTCTGAAACGTTGGTTAACATCTACCAGACTACACAGCGCAACAACCCAGAAGACAGAAATCTGACTGTAGATTAATTAATTTCTAAATATATCAATTTATTCAAAGAAATATTTCGTACTATGTAACATACAACTAACATATGTTAAAGTTCCGAATAGTTTCAACTGCGAATTGAAATTTTAAAGACGTCAATGTTTTTCGAACGGACATAAAATACATGGAGGTGCGAGCCCTAAAAACTCACAAGTAATCTGGTCCCCACGTTTCAGTAATAAAATCAGCTAATTCTGAGGGGCGTTATCACACAGGGGGTCAGATAACGTTCGCCGCCCCTGATGTCTGCCGGAACCTTCGACGGCCTTGAAAGCGCCAAGAATTCGAATAGTGGAATAAGTGTTCGATCACAAAAAAAAAATTCTACACACGTACAATTCCTATGTGATGCGAATCCATCATCTTTAAATTATAAAACAATTCAACTAACCTAACTAGGAGAGTCTAACATCAGAGCGGAGATAAATTGGCCCTGTGTAGTATCTTACCTGGTACCCGCAAACTGACATAACTGCCTTTAAAACGCTCAGGCACGCACATTACAGACAATTTAATTTGTACTGAAACGCAACTTCTCAGTACACAATTCTGATCAATATCCTGGCACGGAGATTAATCCCATAAGAACAATCTGATTATACCTTACAAAGATCCCTATCGCCCTTTTGCGCTGACGGAATCACTCCGACTAAATCAGTTTATTTAACGAAGCCCTGACTCATCTCAATCATATTTAATAATTGAGTGAGTACAGCAAATAAAACACGAATATCTTGTTTGGAAAAACAACAGCAGTTTATTCTGAACATTTATTCCTAGAATCGTATGAAACTCGTAAATACATTGCGTGGACAAAATCCAGTTGTTCGATGTTAAAAGTTGGTGGTACACATAAATATCACTACGCGTTTCCCCTCCTGAACCCCTAGCTTATCTGAATTAGTACTGAACCCAGTCCGTACCTCAAAGAAAATACAACACTTCTTCATTATACATAATCCACTGCTTTTTAATGGTTAAAGAGATGAAATGTTTCCTGCGAAAGCCCTGTACGTATCCTGTTCTACACTTAACTAGTTTTCTTTTTTCATTCCGGACTGCATTCCTCCTGAAGTCCAAATATTTTCCTTTGTTCGTGCACTTGAATCTCTCTGTTCTGTCATAACAACGCACCGCGTTTCATAAAGCATAACTCTCCTCTTCACACAAGCGAAGGTACAGTTCCACGTATTCTTATCCTCGGTAGTGGATGAAGATGGGTGGATACCTTCACGCTACGGTCGATTTATCCCCAAAGTACCACGGTACCCATTATATATGATGCTAGGCGGGCTACATTGCCACTCCGAGCGTTAGGAGGGGCCCATGGGTCTACATCCCTGCCAGAAATCAAACCCTCGTCTTCCAACCAGCAGCCTAGTCACCTAAATTTCACCAGACACATTGTGTATCGCCTCACCCTCTCATACTTTACGTGAACATTACAATTTAAGGTCTACTCCGTTTGTCTGAAACATATTTCGATGCGCTGCAGATTATATTTAATGACACAAAACTCTATGTAATACGACTGACTTCCCTCAAAAATTAAATTTGGATCTGTAAAAAGTTTTCACCAAGGTCGCAACAACACATTTTAAAAAAAAACAGGCGCATTTCTACTCCACACAGAGGCCAATGTCAATGAATTTCCCGACAGGCGCATTTCTACTCCACACAGAGGTCAATGTCAATGAATTTTCCACCCCCTCACAACAACGTCCGCTTAACACTTCGAAATAAAACGGCCGTGGCCTATTTCATAGTCTACCATGCACTATAGACTGAGGAAAACAACAAAATGCCTTTCAGGATAGTGGGACTGTCGTACAAGTAGCCAATTAGTGTTGTTAATCTAGCAGACCAATGTAGTGGACAATGTGCTATTAACAGCAAGGCGTTGTCATCGTTACCAAGCATCATCATCTGGTAAATCCCTACTAATGAGTGGGAGAAGGAATTCTGAGCAGAGACATCTCTGACAAAAGAACTTACCCCGCGTTCTGATAGAAGTGTAATGAACCGACAATTTTTTTACCACAATTATTGGCAATTTATTTCTTTACTTGCCAAACGCGTTTCGGCTTTATAAGACCAAAACTAATTTGTTTGTTCAAGTTTCGTAATATGGAATATATCCACAAACTCGTCACAATTTATGTACAATTAATGTTTACAGGGAACACAATCCCATTTCCTACGCGCAATAACTTAAAAACATCCCCTAAAATCTGTAGCCACAACACAAAATCAAACAACTCACATGGGGGAGGGGGGTGCCGGATACAACCCTCACATTACACGAATCCCAAACGAAATACCACATTTTTTTTTCAACAGAAGCTCGTCACACAAATAACTGGCATGACGATACAAAATGTAGAATCTGCAATTTATATTCGAAACATTTTTCGATGTTGTAAATATTTAGCGAAATACGTAGGAAAATAATTCCAGACCCGTGCAGTGTGGTATTTTAGAATGATTAGAATTTCAATAGTAGATCTGTATTAATATTAAATGGGCATTAAGATTTATCGTGTACACAAAACGAAAATACCGCACTTGGTAAACACGAGTACTCGAGTGGAGTACAGACATCTGTCCGCTGTTCTTGAAAGGTACTTAGTTTATAATTTTTAGAAAATTACTTGCATATTCTTAGGCAGCATCTTCAGTTCTTGGAGACGTAACCCAATCCATCTCCTCGGAGGTCGTCTATGCGGGGTCCTTAAAAGAAAGAGATAATGTGTGATAATTTCGAATGCCTTGCAGTTAAACGTCTCCGGGCTGGCCAAACGGAAATGAGTCTGGTCTCTGTGATGTATTTTGTCCTGGACGGGAAACGAATGTACGAATCGTTCTTCAACTTGGAAGTCTGCCAGCGGAACCAGTATGGACGCCTGCCGTTCGTCAGTGCATCCCCAGCGAGGCCAAGGAAAATTGTGACGCGGTGGTTAAGTGCAGAAACGGGAGTATGCTCATTCTACCTCGAGGTGAAGAATCACGAGACACGATATTCCTGCCCACAATTTCGGATTACCGCCAGAGAGTGATGGGTTCCACACATTTACTACCGTACTGGGAAGTACATACATAGTACAGGGAACTTCTACATAATGTTCCAAATCTTTACAGCACATGCTGAAAATGTCAATCAGCGTCCAGGAGACGAGCACCCGCTATTTTTGGTGTGTTACGTGAGACTTTGTTAAGTGTTTCTGAGCCAATGTTAGCAAAAAATCTATTCAACAACGAGTTTCAGTTCCTTCAAGCGTCGTGGATTATGTGAATAAAGTCTTTCTCAAAGAAATTCGCACATAAAAATTTTGCTAAATAAACTACGTTCGCACCTCAACTGGCTGTGGCCTAGCAGGAACGGAGATCTTGAATCCAGTGTCACGAAGAAGGCTGGGAAAGTCTATTTTACGGGATGGACCTGTTTCTGACGTCATTTTTGTACCATAGTAAGTGAATGTTTTTGGGATGAATTTGCATTATTTTCAGTGTGAAAAACGAAGTGGTAAGAAGAATAATTGGTACGAAGGAAGACGAACTGTATTTGGATCTCACTGCCCCTTTTTACCCGATGACAAAAGCAGAATCCAGCATTAGAAAATTTCTAATTTCATATTTCAGACGATGACAATTCCGAAAGATCAATTTTAACACACTGTAAGACGGCTACCAGCAGAAATATTAGTACTTCGACCATTTAGAATTGACGTCAGGAAATTACTGCAAAGCGTGAATCTACATAAGTCAAATATTAGGAGGTAATACTGTAATATACACAGTATGATAGGCAGACTGGAATGATCTCACTGGGTACAAAGTCTAGTGGCTGGATTCTGCCAGCGGTGTTGACTGAACCTCACGCCTCTTGGGCTTGTGGGGTAAAGACCACCTGAGCGCAACCCGAATCAGTTCCCCGAACCGAACAGTGATGAAAGTGTAACGGAGAATGAATCGAATCAGTTCACCTGCCACTTAGAAGACGGAATGTCGTCACAGCCGACAACCCATCTGCCTTAGGGATCGACTCCCAATTTCGATATGTGAAGTACTTCAGCACTTTCTCGAGTCAGACTCCAGTGCTCAGAGCGTACGTTTCGGACACGTGAGTGATTCAAGACCATTATCTTATAAAAACACGTATTAAGAAATAAGCAGTGAATTAAAAGACAATAAGGGGCCAAATTAATAAGGAACGAAGCTGTTTAAAGCCGAATCAGGGGCTAAGGAATATCAAGACGCTTGCACACCCGAAAATATAGCACGATGACGGCTAACAGTATATTTATAATGCGCCCATGCAAAACGGAGGCTTCAGCGAGTGGTACTAAAAATACCACCTCCTGAAGAAAAATTGGTATATTTTTATATGTATCCATTGATCTAGCCTCTGCATGCAGACCGGCTGTGGGGCCCACCAAGCCTCCGATCTAATGGCTTTCGGGGTCTTTCCCCGGGGGTAAAGCTGACCACTCAACTCTATCTAGTGCCGAGGTAAAGAATTAGTAGGAGCTACATGGCGGAACAACTTTACTTTTTTGATATTTTCACATCAACTGGTGAGAGTATTCTATCCGTCGACTACAGCCTTCTACCTAGTAAACGGCTAGACATTTCAATATTCACATATAGGAAGATGGATTTCTTCCGGAATTTTGCGCCGTAATCTGGTATCGCCTAAAAAAAAGTTCGCATGACAGCCATGCTGGAATCAGATACTAAGGAGACACAACACGAAGACTCCCTGTTTTCTATGGGAAACCTAACCTAAAAATGGGGAATGAAAACGCTTCAAAAAACAAAATGGAACTGTGGTTTTTATTAGCACGAATTGAAGGCAACGCTCCGCAGAACAATGCCGCGAGCTTCCGTCTGTCTCCTGACTTGGCAATCGATGTTTTTGTTGATCCAGCTGTCAAATTCTCTATGCGGCCAGGAGAGTAATTTCCATCTCAGCTCCATACACGGCCAATATTAAGTGAGAACAAACGTTTATTGTTTCTTGGTTGAATAAACGAGGCATTTTCAACTGTGTAGACCGTCGAGAGAGAGAGAGAGAGAACAAGGAGGCAATGAACGACGAGTTGGGAACTGAACTGAGGCAGTCACCGTGTATTTTAAGGCACGATCTCATCTAACCTCGAGTCCGAAGCATCGACACCCGGGATGAAGCTACTCGCTTCACTATACAGTCCTTGAAGGACCATGGTCTCCCCGCATACGGGAGGTTTGTTAATCTGTTTAGCTCCTTGGATTGGTGATCAGCTTATCACAAACCCAAAAGTACTGGCACCCCGGGAAATTATGCACATACAGTGGGCAGCTACCCACCCCCACACACCCTTTGATCTCCTTGCCTATTACTTATAACGGACGTCAAACGCAAAGATTCGCCCCGACTACTAAACAGGATCATGTTTACAAACCACTCCAGCATTCAGTATAGTTTACAAAATTATAAAACCCTAAGAACTAATATTCAATTGAAATTTTAACCAGGTACTGTACTCGGGGCGAAACTCTAAGCCCAAGGTCGTAAGGAATGCCTCATTTAATAAATTCATTTACTTATTTAAATATCACTTAAGTATCTTGACAACTTGAATCCGGGATGCCGTATTAATCGGGTACGCAAATCCGTACGTATTAAAACGAGTTGAAAGTCAGCGTAATGTCAACCAATGGATTGCAAGGTCGTGTGTCGTCCTGGATTTCATGGACCGCAGCGTACCTTCACCACATGAAAAAGTACAGCGAGAAAGTAGTTCACCTCGCACAAGTATGAATCACTTGTCTGAACACTTTGTCTTGACTTGTCCAGACTTCGAACATTGGGAGTGGAAAAATTTACTACGCTTTCAGCGTTCAGTAAGTTATTCTTGAATAAAAATCCAGGTAAGATAAAGCCAACATTTATAAAGATCAAAATTCGTTCACTTGTGTTAACTCAACCTCAGTTCTATCTACTTTAAAGAACGTGGAATAACTTGAACATCATTCGGGTCCATGTACCGCATTTTTATTCAGTCCCTACGTCTCCGTACCCTACAACAATTTACGGGTAAATGGTTTTAACTCAACGGCTGTACAAAAGTCCAAAATGTCGAAAAAATATTCATTCTCGCTAAAATGCAATAAATGTTTGTGTCTCTGGCGAAATATAGACAACATAAAGTTATATTTTGTAACAGTGGAACCAGTATTTGGTGGAAATTATTGCAGATCTCTACTTACGTGACAGTTAACAATCCAGATTTGTAACCGACATTCATTTGCAGAGAATTCAGTTCTTACTACATCGCGGACGAAGCGATACAATGTCCTTCTTCACAAATGACCAAAACGCGAAAGGACACATAAGAGTTCTTGGTCCTAGTATACAATTTCTCATTTCCCACTGCACGTATAAATTCAATGTTCTGTAACATTTTTATGTCTACAGTTATAATGGAGTTAAAACAAACTAGATTTATACGGAGTGATGGACAAATTGAATAATTTAATTTCAGACGATGCACACTGAATTAAAATCCACGAGATATTTGCCAATGGCCATAAATCTGTTAACACAGACAGTATAACAAAATTTTAACACTCAGCAACGCCCATCATCCCTATGGTAACTAACAAGAAGCTGCTATGCTGGCTTACGTCTCCTCTGACCCCGATTAACGACGAATAAAACTTCAGACAGACGGAGTACACTCACGAAAATGGTTCTCCTGTGTAGGCGAAAAGTATGAAAAACACGAAGGATCCTTCCAACAGGATTTAACACATCTTTAACCCGAATGTCCTCATTTCAGGCCTCTACGATTTTATTCAGATATATAAATGAAACTTTTGCCAACTTATTGTACATTTAAACAAAGGGAATATGCTTTCTCATGAAATTTCAGGCATTTACCGCGGTGAGTACGAAGACGGATGTCTTCTGGGTTGTAGCGCCATGTAGTCTGAAGGCAGCAAGGACCTCTGACACTCAGGTGAACTTCTACCAGATTACACGGCGCTGAAAACTACAAGAAAGCCATCTTCAAGAGTCGATTCTGTAATAATAATAAAAAGTACGATCTGCTTTCCAATCTTCGGTCTTCCCTGAAAAAGAACTTTACAAACGGGTCTTCTATGTATATCAAGTGAACGCGGTGTTGTTTCAGATATCAAGAAGGTTCTTTATCTTGAGGTTATTTAGAATGACTGTTCACGACTTTGTTTAACCTACGCAATTACTCTGCAACTGACGTCTCTTTGCAACAGAGATCGGAAAGCACTACACAAGTAACATTAAACACGTACAAGCTTGAGTATCTGCCACCAGGGGCAATAACGTAACTGTCAAGATCTCTTCACCATTTAAAACTTATCTTCCGATTTCATAACGTCTGTCTGCAGCTGACACCATCACAAACTGAGGTTTTAATAGTCGTTTCAGTGGGTCACAGCACGCAAATACAGAGAGCCTTTTTAAATTGAACTAACATGAAAACAGGCCACTCCTCTTACTTACTGCAGAAGACATTTCTTTCAGAACACGGGAAATGAGGGGAGGGGGGTGTATCTACGCGCAATACACCCGAGATTTATTTAATTCGTTGTTTAAAGTAAATAATATTGGAACAGTATACTCTTTGGTGTACAATGGCTTTCCAAAGTGATTTTCATGCCATATTATGTGTCGTTATTGCACCAATGAGATACCAGCCATCGCATTC